GCTAATTACATTTTGTCATTTAAGAATGGCAAGTATTTGACAGATCACTTTTATCAAAATATCTTGTAGGTTTTAATGGATAGCCTTTATTAAATATTTTACTAATAGCTATATCATTTAAAAATTTTGAATAAGGCTGGGCATAGTGGCTCATACCTGTAATCCCAGCACTTTGGGAGGTTGAAGTGGGTGGGTCACTTAAGGCCAGAGTTTGAGACCAGCTTGGACATCATGGCAAAGCCCTGTCTCTACCAAAAACACAAAAATTAGCCAGGAGTGGTGACACGCACCTGTAATCTCAGCTACTGGGGAGGCTGAAGCATGAGAATTGCTTGAACCCAGGAGGCAGAGGCTGCTGTCAGCTGAGATCGTGCTGGGCAACAGAGTGAGACTTTTGTCTCACAAAAAATAGTTTAGGCCAGCTGTGGTGGCTCACGCCTGTAATCCCAGCACTTCAGGAGGCTGAGGCAGGCAGATTACCTGAGGCCAAGAGTTCGATACCAACCTGGTCAACATGGTGAAACCCTGTCTCTACTAAAAATACAAAAATGAGCTGGGCCTGGTGGCAGGCACCTGTGGTCCCAGCTACTCAGGAGGCTGAGGCAGGAGAATCACTTGAACCCTCGAGGCAGAGGTTGCAGTGATTCCGAGACTACACCACTGCATTCCAGCCTGGGTGACAGAATGAGACTTTGTCTCAAAAAAATTGAATAAATGTTGAGTTTCATCAAATACTAATCATATGGTTGTTCAATTGGTTGATGTGATAAATTATCTTAATATGAGCCTATTCTCTTCTTTTTGCTAAGGTTAACATCTGACTTCTAGGACCTCATTCTACTCATATATCTAATGTATTTCCTTAATTCAATACACTAGTGTCTTTACATTCTCTTTTATGAACAGATGAGCTAAACAAAAACTTGAATTCCTTTCTTTGATAGCGTCTTCATAAGGCATTCTTCGTATCTGCCTGAACACAGAAGGAAAGTTCTAGTGTTGTGATCATTTTGCAAATGAGGAAGGTGAGGCTTCAAGTGATGAAATAACTTGTTCATGGTCACACAGCAAGTAAGGGCTGGTTCTAGAATTTGAATTCAGACAACCCAACTTGCAGGATGTTCTTCTAGGATCAGTGTCCTTAAGGGACAGAATTTCTTTCCTGTTCAAAAAGTTTTCTGCAGCATCACAGTTGACTAGGTAGGGATGGTGTCCTGATGGGGTTGGAGTTTCCTGAGGTGTCAGAGGCACTGGAAGGTCTAAGTAACTTTGGATGACTAGAATGCTCTAGGAATCAGAGTGACTTGGTACAGTAAGCTATTCCTCTGGGCATCATGGGCATTGTAATGAGATTGCATCTGATTAGCTGGATGGTGTGGTGTGCACCTGTTGTCCCAGCCATTAAGGATGCTGAGGTGGAAGAATCACTTGAGCCCAGGAGTGTGAGGCTGCAGTGTGTTATGACCACACCACTGCACTCCATCCTGGGTGACAGAGCAAGACCTTGTCTCAAAAAAAGTATATACATATATATGTGTACACACACACACACACACACACACACACACACACACACACGATCCTATAGGATCGAATAACCTAGAAGGTAGGGTGTTCATGTGCTCAGAGTCAGCTAGGATTTATGGTATTCGGGGCAATCACTGTGTCCTCATAGAGACCTGATCCACTGGAGACTCAGGGGGTCCTTGTATGGTCAGAGTAGTGTCTTATGGGTTTGCCTTGTAGGATCCTTTTTTTTTTTTTAGACAGAGTCTCACTCTGTCACCCAGGCTGGAGTGCAGTGGCATGATCTTGGTTCACTGTAACCTCCACCTCCCAGGTTCAAGCGATTCTCCAGCCTCAGCTTCCTGAGTAGCTGAGACTACAGGCACGTGCCACCATGCCTGGCTACTTTGTTTTGTATTTTTAGTAGACAGGGTTTCACCATGTTGGCCAGGCTAGTCTTGAACTCCTCATCTCAAGTTATCCACCTGCTTCAGCCTCCCAAAGTGCTGGGATTACAAGCATGAGCCACCATGCCTGGCATCTTGTAGGATTCTAAAAGATCAGAGGACCCTGGGGAACAGGGTGTTTAGAGGATTCCAAGAAACCACATAGGATCAGATGAGATCTTAACAGTGAAAGTCAGAGAGTCTGGGCGACTTGGAGAATCCTGGGAAGGCAGGGGTATTGGAGAGGCAGGGTGGCAAGGGAGGCAGGTGTTCTGGGCCTACAGGCATTGTTATCATGTCAGAACACTTGAAGTATCCTCACATCATCACCGGCTTTGAGGTCAGCCTGTTCTGGAAGATCACACTGCTCGCATGTGTGTTTTGAAGGTTGGTCTGGCTGTGTGATTCAGAGACTCCTAGACGTTCTGGGAGTCAGAGCTGTGAAGATTTCCAGGTAGGTCGGCATATACTTTTGGTATCTGAATGTGAGAGATCAAGGTTTTCTGGAGCTCAGGTGGTCCTTGAAGGTTTGGGTAGACTTGAATAGACCTGTCATGGAGTAGAGTGTCAAGGTATTCTTGTACAATCAGAACATTTTCAGGAAATCAAGGGGTTCTAGATGAGCAGAGTGTGCTAGGCGGGGGTGAGAGTATGCAGGAAGTCACCATGTTCTGGCAGTTCTGGGGATATGTATTCTACGGAGTGTCTTACAGGGAATAGAACCCTTGAGAGGACAGAATTTCTTGAGGGTTAGAATAATCGCCTGTTGGATTCAGGGGGTCCTAGTTGAAGCTGTGCTGGGCTGTCTGCGGGTTGGGAAGGCGGGGAGTGACAGTGATTAGGGTGCCTACTGACAGCTCTAGGGCTGAGACGTCCAGAGCACACTGGAAGGTTGGAGAGTGCTGGCGTTAAGACATCCCATGTGTCAAAGGCATGTTGGATGGTCAGAGTGCTTTGATAGGCCAGGATACAACTTTACTTAGTCAGCATGTCCTGTGGGTCAGGTGAGTGTGGTCAGGGTATTTCCTGGCTTGGGAAAAACCACACTGAGTGGTTTTTCAGTGTCAGTATTCACTTTGGAAGATTCAAGCAAACTGGGGGCTCTGAATTGGCAGGAAGGCAAGATGCCCTTGACTGTCTAGATTCTGTAAGGTCAGGAATTCCTTAAAAGGTTAGAATTTCCCAAATCTCACCATGTCCTTGTGGTCTGGGTGTCTTAGAGGGTCATGGAGTCCATGTGAGCCCAAGCTATCGTGCTGATTATAAGGTACTGAGGTCAGTGCCCCTGGGAGGGTCTGTGTGTCCTAGAGAGCGAATGCATCCTCAGTGCTCTTGGGATTCAAGGACCTGACAGGGCCAGAATGGATACTCCCAGGCAGTAGGGCGCATTGTAATTCAGTTTTCTCTTGTGAGTCTGAGCTGACTGCATGTCACTGGGTCTTGCTAGGTTAGGACTGCCGTGGGGTTCAGGGTGCTCCAGGGGATCGTAGTGTGTCCTAGGGTAGGAGGAGAAGGATTGGTATTAGAGCAGTGCTTCTCAGCTTCACTGTTGGTATGGACTGAACGTTTGTGTCCCTCCAAAATTCATGTTGAAGTCCTAACACCCAATGTGATGGTATTTGAAGGTGCGGATTTGGGGAGGTGATTAGGTTTAGATGAGTTCATGAGGGTGAGACCCCATGATGGGATTAGTGTCCTTACAGGCAGAGGAAGAGAAACCAGAGCTGGATCTTTCTCCACCATGTGAAGGCAAGTGAGAAGGCAGCCACCTGCAAGCCAGGAAGAGAGCCCTCGTAGGTGAGCCTAATAGGCCGACCCCTTGATCTTAGACTTCCCAGCCTCCAGAACCGTGAGCAATAAGGCTACTGTTTCAGCCACACAGTCTATGCTATTTTGTCAAGGCAGCCCCAGCTGACTAAGATCCACGTACACTCGGTTCTCCTGGAGATCTTGTTGCAGTGCAGACTGTGACTCAGTAGGACGGAGGCGGCGCCCTGGGTTCTGCATATCCAACATGCTCCCATTGCTGCTGATCCATGGACAACACTGTAAGCACTGAGATCCTAAAGGATTATGATTTCCTGTCTTGAATCATCAGGATGTTTCTAAAGGACCTGTATGACGGCATGACTGTGGGAATCAGACTGTCCTGTGGGCACCGTGTGTTCCAGGGGGGTCCATGTGTCCTCATCAGGTCAGTGTGGCCTGAGAAGTAGAGGTGAAGTGTTTGGGTGTCAGTGTGTCCTGGGGGATCCTAAGGTCCTGGGCTGTCACACTGTTCTTAAATGGTCAGGGTGTCCTGGATCTAAGTAACCTCAAGGGGCAGAGGACTATGGGACTGGGCCATCCTGACTGCTCAGGCATTCCTGGTGTCAGGATTTCCTTGAAGAATCAGAATGTAGTGTGTCACGGGAATCTCAATCTCTTTCTGAGTCCTGAAGTCTGAGGTGGGGTGGGGGTCAGGATGCATCTGGAATGCAGGTGTTCCTTAGGTCAGGGTTTTCAGAGGGTCCGGGTGACCTTGAAAGGTCATGGTGTCCTGGGGGTCCTGGGTGAATGAGGAGGTGGTGTTTGAGGTGGGAAATCAGAGAGTATTTGAGATCTGAGGTGTCCTGGAGGTCCATTCTCCGGAGTGGGTTCAGGTTGGCCTGACGGTGGCTGGTGCATTCTAAACTATCAGGGGATCTAAGAGGGGCCGGCATGCACTTGTGACTTCTCCTTTCTTAATTTCCTGGAAACAGGTCCTTGGGTGTCACCCCATGCTGAGATGCCAGGCAGGCCCCGATCCTGGGTCCCCTTCCCCAACTCTTTGTTCCTCTCTCCACAGTGGGGTTCTGAGGAGGGGTCTGAGGAGGAATGCATTCTCTCCTCCTCTCCCTGCCTGCTCCCAGGAGGGGATTTAACAGGACAAAAGAATCCGGTCCTCTGGGAATACGAGCCCTTGGCCTCAGTCCCTGGACCCTCCGACAGAGCACCTTCCCTCATCCGGCTTGTGATCCTCCCTGAGCAAGGGGGCTCTGGTGACCGTGTGGTGATTGGATGGGCCCACAGGAGTGAGGAGGAGGTCACTCCTCCAAGACTGAGGGGTGGTATGGGCAAATAGGCAGCTGACGGAACAGAGCAGCATCCTGGTGGAGAGAAGCGGCAGGCAGAGAAAAGTAGAGTCAGAAACAGAGCAACCAGTGAGGCCGAGCCAGGAGAATGAGATGACACTCAAGCCAAGGAATGGGGAATTAGGAAATAATTAGAAAAAAAGCAGAGACAGTAAAAAAGTCAGAGATAGCTACCTGCACATACACACGCATTCAGAGACAGAGACGCAGGGAGTGGCATACCCAGAGTGAGAAGTGGGGAGAGAACAGGTGTGGGGAGGACCTGCGGAAACAGAGAAATCTCGAGTCAGAGATTCAGGGACACTTGGTCCCCTCGGTGAGCCATGGAAGCAGAAAGGAGGAGCCAGCCAGGGAAGCCGAAGAAGGGGCGAGTCTGCAGCAGCCTCTTGCTGGAGAGACACCCGGCCTCTGGGACCCTGACCACCATGGTGGGTGAGTGACTGTCCCAGTGTGCATGGGTCCCTGAAGAGGCAGCGGGTATGAGGCTCAAAGCATAGGCTCCGTGAAGAAGGTTAGGAGGAGAAATTAGAAACAGAATCTAGGCCAGGCACGGTGGCTCACGCCTGTAATCCCAGCGCTTTGGGCGGTCGAGGTGAGCGGATCACAAGGTCAAGAGTTCAAGACCAGACATGGTGAAACCCTGTCTCTATTAAAAAACTGAAAAATTAGCTGAGTATGGTGGCTCGTGCTTGTGAAACCCTGTCTCTATTAAAAAACTGAAAAATTAGCTGAGTATGGTGGCTCGTGCTTGTAATCCCAGTTACTTGGGAGGCTGAGGTAGGAGAATTGCTTGAACCAGGACCCGGGAGGTGGAGGTTGCTGTGAGCCAAGATCGCACCACTGCACTACAGCCTGAGCTACAGAGCGAGACTCCATCTAAAAAAAAAAAAAAAAAAAAAAAATCCCAGAATCTAGCATGAGAAAACTGTGGGAACCTTTGAAAGTAAGGGACCAGAGCACCCCTTGGCTTTATAGACTGGGGAACTGAGCCTCTGGCAGGAGGGGCGGCCGAAAAGCTCTCATCCCAGTGGGGGTGTGAGACAGCTGCCTCTGTCCCCTCACTCCTGACCTCAGAGTGCGTTAGTCCAGGGCACTACCTTCTCTGATGAAGGGAGCTGGAGGGGCCAGGGCTTTGGGTCCAGGGAGAGCGGGCTCTGTGTGTGTGTCCCCATGGTGGACAGTGAGCTTTAGGAGGGGCCGCACCCTTGGGTCCCCATGGGGATAGTGCCTCAGCTCCAGACATCTTTTCTTGGTGTGCGCCCTCCAGGTGTGTCCTTTTCCCTCCCCATTCTCTCCTCCCAGCCGCTCTCAGACTAATTAGTGTGCGGGCTTAGGGAGCCTGCAGGGAGGAGAGGCAAGCCTTTCCCACGAGCTCAGGTTCCTGCTGCCTGGTGGCTGGGCCAGGGCAGGGGTAGGGAGAAGATGAAAAGTAAGTAGGGAGGGTGTGTCTGGGCGGAAGAGGGGGTGCTCATCTTCCCAGGTGAGGGGTGCAGGAGGATGGCAGCAATCTGAAGAAGGTACAAGTTGAACATAAGCCTCGCCAGCAGGGGACGGGCACTGGTGTCTTCTGTGAGCAGCTGGGATGGTTGCTGGGTGCAGGTCCAGGCAGCAGACCCGCAGAGTAAGCCTCAGGTGGTCGTGTGTGTCCAGACAGGTGAATGCACATGGCGGGGCATGTGTCTGGAGGTGCCATAGGAAGTGGGCAGATGACAGAGTTGCCAGGTAGACAGGGCATGAGGCCCTGGGGCCAGGAATGAGTCTGAGGGCATGCCCTATGTAGACAGCACAGCCTGGTGTCAGGGACTAAGAGGCAACCAGGGCCAAGGCCGAGCAGGGTGCAGGAACCAGGCTATGGCAGTTAAAAGATGCCTGGTGGGGCAAGGCAAATGAAAGCGAGGCAGGGCTGGGTGTGGTGGTTCAGGCCTCTCATCCCAGCACTTTAAGAGGCCGACATGGGAGGGCTGCTTGAGGCCAGGAGTTTGAGACCAGCCTGTGCAACAGAGCAAGACCCCATTCTAAAAAATTTGTTTTAATTGCTTAGGTGTGTTGGTGCACACCTGTAGTCCCAGCTGCTCGGGAGGCTAAGGCAGTAGGATCACTGGAGCCTAGGGGTTTGAGGCTGCGATAAGCTGCGATCACATCACTGCACTCAAGCCTGGATGACAGAGTGAGATTCAGTCTCAAAGAAAGAGAAAATGAAGAGTGGAGCTGCACAGGAAGCACTGAGCGGAATCCAGGACCGGCGCGTGTGGTCCAGCACCGAGGAGCATCCTCCTCAGAAGCCGCTTCTCCCTTCTCTCCCTCCTCAGACTCGAGTGCTCCACCCTCCAGGAAGCGCCCCGGTGCAAGAGTCGGGAGACCAAGGTTCTCGCCGCAAGGAGGACAGAGGGGCCGCCCGCACTCCCGGCGTCGCCACCGCACCACCTTCAGCGCAGTGCAGCTGGAACAGCTGGAGTCAGCCTTTGGGAGGAACCAGTACCCGGACATCTGGGCCCGAGAGAGTCTCGCCCAGAACACTGGTCTCAGTGAGGCCCGAATCCAGGTGATGCTCAGGATGCCTCCTCCCTCGGGGAAGAAATGCAGATTTCTTTGGTGCTATCATAGAACGTTAGGCATTATAACGCTAAGCTAAATGGTCACCAGAACACAGGCCTCATCTGACCACCAGCGTCAGGGCATCTGCATCGAGAATATCCCTTGAGTTTAACCCTAGCTGTAAGCTAATCTAACTTGAATTTCAACGCCTTCCTCCAATGTTTAATAGTGATGCCAATTCCGGCTGGGTGACGTGGCTCACGCCTGTAATACCAGCACTTTGGGGGGCCAAGGTGGGTGGATCACCTGAGGCCAGGAGTTCGAGACCAGCCTGGCCAACATGGCAAAATCCCATCTCTACTAAAAATACAAAAAGCATTAGCCGGGCATGGTGGCGGGTGCCTGTAACCCCAGCTACTCTGGGGGCTGAGGCAGGAGAATTGCTTGAACCCAGGAGGCTCAGATTGCAGTGAGCCGAGATCACGCCACGGCACTCCAGCCTGGGCGACAAGAGTGAAACTTCGTCTCAAAAGAAAAAAAAGAACCATAATAATGATGCCGATTCCAACAGAAAGTCAATCCTAACTGTTCACACATATGGAACCTTGTCCCTCACCATAGCCTTGAAACCCATCCGGCCCGATGCTCCCTCAATCCTAACCACAGAGTTGGTTAGCTGTAAGGGTAAACCCTACCCTAAATCCAAACTTGTCTATAATAATTAGATTTATCCACAGTCTTAATGGCTAAACCTAACCCTAGGGGAAACTTCCCATTCTCTGGGGAAGGATAGTCATCTCCTTGTTGGAAGCTGACATTTCTTACTCGCCCAGATGGTAGAAATGGGCACATTTGGACGCAGGTTGGGGATAAGTCTGTGGGTTCCTGAATCAGCAGACCGGGCTCAGCCAGGCCTTGTGGAAGGGCTTTGCTTCCTCTGGCCATCCTGGAGAGGCCTGCTCCCTGTCCCTGCACCTCTTGTCATTGGAGCAGGGCGTCTGTCACCACCTGTTTGAGGCGTGGGCTCTGATGTGTTTGCTCTCCCCTTTCAGGTCTGGTTCCAGAACCGCAGAGCTAAGCAACGGAAGCAAGAGCGCTCACTGCTGCAGCCCCTGGCCCATCTGTCTCCTGCCACCTTCTCCGGCTTCTTGCCAGGGTCCCCTGCTGGCCCCTACTCCTACACAACGCCACCTCCACCAGTGACCTGCTTCCCTCACCCCTACAGCCACGACTTCCCCTCCCAGCCCTCCACAGGAGGCACCTTTGCTCTGCCACACCAGTCTGAAGACGGGTACCCTACCTTGAACCCAACCCCTGCTGGCTATCCGCCCCGTCCCCCACCCCCTCCCATGCTCCCCCTCAGCCTTGAGCCATCCAAGTCCTGGAACTAAGGTCAAACAAGCACTGCTAAGGTGATCCCCAGCCTGTGGCTCTCATGAAAAAACAAGAAAACGGGGTGGCTTCCTTTTCTTCTATGGGTGAAAGAGATGTATGGTGAGGGTCAGCACAGTGATTGGAATTTTAAAAATGGGAGATCATGGTGAATTCTCACTGCAGTGATTAATGGAGGAAATCTGGGGAGGTGAGCTACTGGAAGAGGCAGGGAAAGATGTCTCCATGGAGCTGCCTGGTGAAGGGTGATATTGACGGAGACAGTTGCTGGTGAGTAGAGATGACTGAAGGGCTAGGATGTTGGGCCTTCATTAACTGAGATCATGATTGAAGAACATCCCAGCTCTTTCTGGCTGATTTCAGGAAGGCTTTTGACTTAGAGTCTACCTATACATCCCTTCCCCGTTGCCCACCCGCCATCACAAACACTCACTCACTTTTGTTTATTCATCTCTTGAGAGTGTCCCCTCCTTTCCATTCCAGCAGACCCTTGGCTTTTTCTGGCTCTATATTTTCTGACTTATTGTCCACATCGATTCCCTTAGCTCTAGTCTGTCCCACTTCCAACAAACCTGTGGAATCTCTGAACATCAAGGAATGCTCTCCAATGTCTTATAAAAAATACGTAAATAAGATTTGATTGGTTTGGCCCATAGAAGTCTTCAGCATCTGCTTCAGACTAACTTTTTAAATCAGCGGCATATTTTAACATATGTGGTTTCTGACAGAGAAGAAACCATTCTATTTAGGGCAAACATTTCTAAGACCAAACCATCTGAGACTGATAAGGGGTCATTCCCAGGAAGGGACCTGCCTTGTCTGGAAATGCCGTGGTCTGAGCCTTCTCAAAAGAAACACCACGGAGCCTAGTTCATGGCACAATTTTTATACCATATTGCTTATGATGCATTTATTTTACTCCTTATTTACTTATTTATATGTAGGCTTACCTCTCTTATTGGCAAGATCACAGAAGAATATTTTTAACATTTTTTCTTTTTATTTTTGAGATGGAGTCTCACTCTGTCGCCCAGGCTGGAGTGCAGTGGCAAGATCTCAGGTCACTGCAATCTCTGCCTCCTGGGTTCAAGCAATTCTTCTGCCCCAGCCTCCCAAGTAGCTGGGATTATAGGTGTGCACCACCATGCCTGGCTCATTTTTGTAATTTTAGTAGAGACAGGGTTTCATCATGTTGGCTAGGCTGGCCTTGAACTCCTGACCTCTGGTGATCCACTCACCTTGGCCTCATGAAGCGCTGGTATTACAGGCGTGAGCCACTGCGCCTGGTCAATTTTTAAATTTTTAATATTTACTTCTTGTGTCTCTAGATATGATTTTTATTCTTGGGTCTTTTCCCTCCCCCTTGCATCCTTCTCCTCTCTTCAACTCCTCTCTCCTGTCCCATCCCTGCTATCCATTTACCAGGAAGGAAGTTTCCCTGTGCCTGCAGCCTGGCTCCCCAACCCCCAGCAGGATTACCTTTTGCAGAAGGAGGGCAAGGGGTAGGGGACAAGGGACTGGGAGGCAGCTTGAAGGAGCTGCAATGGCGTGATCTCGGCTCAATGCAAACTCCACCTCCTGAGTTCAAGCAACTCTCCTGCCTCAGCCAACTGAGTAGCTGGGATTATAGGTGTGCACCACCACGCCCACCTAATTTTTTTTTTTTCGTTTGTTTGTTTTTTTGAGATGAAGTCTGGTTCTGTTACCCAGGCTAGAGTGCAGTGGTGCAATCTTGGCTCACTGCAACCTCTGTCTCCTGGTTCAAGTGGTTCTCCTGTCTCAGCCTCATAAGTAGCTGGGACTACGGGAGCCTGCCACCATGCCCGGTTAATTTTTGTATTTTTACAAAAATTACATTAGATATGGAGTTTCACCATATTGGTCAGGCTGATCTGAAACTAGTGACCCCAGGTGATCCGCCCACCTAGGCCTCTGAAAGTTCTGAGATGACAGGCGTGAGCCACTGAGCCCAGCTTCACCTAATTTTTGTATTTTTAGTAGAGACAGAGTTTGACCGTGTTGGCCAAGCTGGTCTCAAACTCCTGACCTCAGGTGATCCACCTGCCTCGGCCTCCCAAAGCGATGAGAGTACAGGTGTGAGCCACCACGCCTGGCCAATAGAAGAATCTTTAAACAAGCCTTTATTGATGGATACTCAAGTTGTGTGTAGTTTTTAAATATATATTTTTTAAAAGTCTGGAGTCACAACCCCTGTATTACACTTTTGCACTCATACCAAATTATGTCCTTGGGCCAGACTGCCTTCTAGAAAGATTACACTGGTCTGAATTCCACCAAAAGAACCTGAGTATTTGTTTCAGCATGTCCTTGTTAACCTGTACCATTTTTGACAATTTGTTAACTGAGAGTGATGTCTTCTTGTTGTTTATTTTAAAATGTTCATTAATTTCTAGAGAGAATTAAAACAGTTCATGTTTATTGGCAATTTACATTTTTTCTTTCCTGTATTGCTTATGAGTTATTTGCGTATTTGTATATTGATATAGTCATTTTCTATTAGCATTTGAGAGCTCTGTAGATTAGGGATATGAATTCCTATTCATACCTGTTGCAACCTTTTTTTTTTTTTTTTTTTTTTTTTTTAGGCAATGGTCTCGCTCTGTCATCCAGGCTGAAGTGCAGTGGCACCATCTTGGCTCACTGCAACCTCCGCCTCCTTGGTTCAAGCGATTCTCCTGCTTCAATCTCCCTAGTAGCTGGGGCTACAGATGCATGCCATCATGCCCCACTAATTTTGTATTTTTAGTAGAGATGGGGTTTCGCTATGTGGGCCAGGCTGGTCTGAAACTTCTGAGCTCAAGCAATCCACCGGACTTGGCCTCCCAAAGTGCTGGGACTACAGGCATGAGCACCGAGCCTGGCCACATGTTGCAACTATTTTTGACAGTTGGCGATTTATCTTTTAGCCTTTCTCAACGAAGTTTTCCTGAGAGAATTAGCACTAATTCCCTATACCTATTGTATGTAAGGAATTAACTTCTGTCTTAAACATCTAGAATGGTACCTGTTTTGTAGAACTGGTAGATGCTTTAGAAATTAGTCACTCAGTTCATTTTCTGTGTTGTGCGGTTCAGATGAGGAAACCCAGGTGGGAAGTCTGTTTTTAGTGGTTTCATCTATCCCACTTTATTATTTTATTTTCTTTATTATTTGGATAAAAATGTTATGATTTGAATCACTTGAAATTTATTTTGCTATGTGCAGCAAAATAGTCATGGAATTTCCTTCAATCAGCTAAATAGTTATTCCAGTGTCATTTACTTAATAGTCAGACGTCACCCCATTGATTCATAAAATCATAATTTTTCATATACTGAGTTCTCGGATGTATGTATATATGGGACAGCCAAGGACTCCTCATTCTTTTTCATCAATCAGTTTCTCCTTTCCAGTTCCAGCACCACAGTGTTTTAATGATTGAAATGTAAGAATTATAGATACCTTTAAAATGTCTAATTTTCTTATCCAAACACAAGGTGTGTCTTGTCGTTTCTTCCAGACTTATCTTATGTCCTTCAGGAATTTAAAAAAAAAAAAAAAGATTTTTTTGAGACGGAATCCTGCTGTGTTGTCCAGGCTTGAGTGCAGTGGCAAGGTCAAGGCTCACTGCAACCTCCGCCTCCCAGGTTCAGGCAAGTCTTTTGTCTCAGCCTCTAGAGTAGCTGGGACCACAGGTGCATGCCACCATACCCGGGTAATTTTTGTATTTTTGTTATTTTATTAGAGACGGGGTTTCACCATGTTGGCCAGGCTGAT